CCGCTCTTAGTCTGACCCGTCACCCGTCTATAGCCCGGATGAGCGGAGGAGAATGGATGGATGGATGGAAATTTTTATAGCCTCAATAAAGAGCTGGAGCAGTGTGACACAGATTATATTGTATATCACATTATCTGTGCAGGATTTGATGACTTTTACTACTATTTACCATTTATCATTTACTATGATAAATAAGAAATAAAAGGGGGAAATATATATTATGATGAAAAGACAAGCTGCATTCTAAGTGTGGGAAAAAGCTCCAAAACGCAGTACTGGGACATGATATCACTCAGAAACTGTTTACTGATCTTTAGAACCCATACCACACAGGTGTAAGCATCTATTTTTACTACCCAGTGGCAGAAAAATATCCACATTGTATGTAAAAGTAGTAAACCATAGTGTAAAACTACAAGTAATACTTCTGCAGTGAAAATGTTACTTGAGTAAAAGTACATATCATTATCAGCAAGATGTGCTAAAAATTAAAAGTACTAAATATTGACTATCCCTTTTCAGAGTGCAAAAGTGAAACATACTGTGACTACTGTAAGTACATCTACTCAAGTACTAGTACAATGCAGTTTTACTTGAACATATCCATTTTATGCATCTGTATGCAGTACATCTACTTCAGAGACAAACAGTAGTTATTTAATACATTTATCTACTGTAGTTATTTGCTGAAGTAAAAGTACTCACTATGCAAACCAGACTCTGTTCAGTGGTAGAACACACAGTAACTACAGCAACTACATTTATTTAAGTATTTTACTTCAACACTGAGGTGCTTAGCTTTACTTATACCTCAACTTCTCCACATGTCAGAGGGAAATACTGTACCTTTTACCCCACTGTGTTTCTGTGACTACTGTAGCTAATTTGTGACTTTAAGATTAGGATTTTACAAACAGAATTTACTATGAGTTTTTAGAATATGATGCACTGTTGCAGAATAAACTACCCAATACTGTGCAATAGATACAGTATATGACCAGAAAGGTGTACTGAAAGTAAGAGCACTTTTATTGCAAAAATGACACATTATATTATTACATTTACTCAATTAGTGGATTCCTCTTGTTCTGTTATTGATACATTATCAGCATTTCACAGTTTAACTACTAATAAATTGTTGGGTAGTTTTATCTAGCATTGAGTTTGATTCCATTAACTGATTGCTTATCATAATCTGCAAAATACTGGGTGTTAGATAAATGTGAGGGTAATATTTTCCTCTAAATTGTAAACAGAAGTTAAGGTGTCCATAAATGGGCATACTGTTAATATAGAGTATGTTTTTAATGTGTGCCGGTCCTGAGTGACTAATTTCATTCTTCCTGTGTCACACGTGTAGAATGACAATAAAAGAACCTTGGTGTTAAATAAGTACATAAATTCTACTTGAATAAGGTACTTCAGTAAATGTACTTGGTTATTCTCCACTGTTAGTAGCCTGCACAACCGGCACTATGTTTCTGGACTGAATTCAGCTCAGCCAGATGTCAGCCTGACATCGAGGGCAGTGTTTCTAAAGCCTATGCCACATCAGCCTTATTTAGCCCTCGGGAATTGGAGGAATACAAATCTCAGCATCAAGTGAGAGTGACTAGTAACACCAGTTGACAGATGATGCAATCCAATAAAGCAGTTGCATGGAGCACCACACAACATGCAGCACATTGCATCAGAAAAGAAAGTAATTAATTATAATCTGGAAATAGATACCGTCAGTGTGGGGGTGTCCTGTGGAAATATGTACTGAGATCCTTTTGAGTTTTCAGTCTTTTTATGCCTTTTGCAAATGAGAGGAACGTTATCACATGCCTGTCTGGGGTCAGCAGCAAGCCATGTAAATGTGGGGCCACCAATGTCCCCAGAGAGTGACGAGGCGAGGGACGTGTCTGTGGTCATGTCAGCGCAGCCCCCATTGAAAGCAGCGGTCTATTATTATCCCAGGAAACGGGTATTTACAAAGGGACATCTCCTTGACTGGCACAAAATAAAGTTTCAGAATACGCGTGAGTGACTGAGAGGGCTCACATGCCACAAAGTCCCGAGCCCCTGACTCGTTAGGATAAACGTCGTCCCTCATTTGCGCAGCTATTTCTGAATACCGGGGTTGTTGCTGTGCATGGAGGCTTTCTCGCGTTAAATCAGAGCCACCGGTTCGCTCTGAGCAGTGTGGGCGTGCGTAATGCGCGCCCATTATTAGTTTGTCCCTAAGTTGTGCAAGAAGTTTGAACGGGACAATGGAAAACTGATGAACAGACAACGTTGTGTCTAAAACGAGGAGCTCATTAGTGTCAGATCAGAGAACAAGCTGTTCCACCCCTGACATGGATTAAATCACCCCCGAGTGGCACAGTGTGAACTTAGTCTCGTTTTCACTTGTGAAAACAATAGAGAAAAGCAGCCCACCGCCTGTGTGCTATAACTTTAATCTGTAAGTGTGGGTTACAGTTTTGTGTCGCCCGGGTGAGAAAGGTCCGACTGCAACACCAAACACTGGTGTCGTCACTCGTCAGCGATACATGCAAGCACTGCCTGTTCCAACACAAATATTGACATGATTGTCGTATTCAAATGGGCTGGGTGACTGGACATCGGCGGGCCAATCACAGCCCATTGTATCATTACACCTTCTTTTCAGAAATCATTCATAACGCCGATGCGTCAAACACTCACAGAGAAGCCGGCTATAAATACGGCTGCTACGCGGCGCACGGTTAGACATTTTCCCAAAATCAAAGGAAAGACATTTGAGCAAGAACAGTGGGAATCTGGCTTTTATCTGATCTGATTATTCTTCTTGTTTTGCTGTACGTTTCATATTAGTTTAAGCTCACTATGTTGGTCATGGGTGAAATCTATTTGAAGCACGTCGTGGTGGCAGCCGTGTGCTCCGTCCTGGCCACAATGACGCTGGGGTCCCCGGTGGTGGGACCAGAGCCGATCCGATGTGCACCGTGTACTCCGGAGAAACTGAGCCAGTGTCCAGCGGTGGCGCCCGGATGCGCCGATGTGCAGCGTGAGCCCGGCTGTGGATGCTGCTTCGCCTGCGCCCTGAAGGCTGGGGAGCTGTGCGGAATCTACACGGCGCCATGCGGCTCAGGACTGAGGTGCATCCCGAGACCAAGCGACCCCCGGCCGCTGCACTCCCTCACCCGGGGACAAGCCGTGTGCACGCAAAGTACAGAGCCTGAGCCAACCTCCGAACCCCAGGTCCAGACTCAAGGTAAGTATGTCACCTCCACATTTAGACTATACATCTGTAAATAACAAATCCAAGAAATCATCACCATTATCAACCCGAAACACTCGAGTCTTCCACTTTGAAGCCATTTACAGTTACAGTCAGTCAGCCCCACCTCACATTCATTCAAATTTTCTTCTCCAGATCAGGGAGAGCCAGAGCCTGAGATGGAGAACGCAGCTACCATCTCGGACCCCGGCTTCAGCCACTACCTCCCCGGCCACAGTAAGCCCTACGACCCGCGGGCTGCTGCCGACGCTCAGGAGAGCATGAAAGCCAAACTCATCGCCATCCGCAAGAAACTGGTGGAGCAGGTAGAACCCGGTCTCAGCATCACTGTGTGAATTCTGTGAAACAGTCAGTGTGCACTATGTTGGTACTGTAAACGTTTTGGGGAGGCTCTGGGAAAGGACTGGAGCGCCACAAGGGGGAGCGCGTGTGCTGTTTGAAGTGATGAGGGAGGAAAAGATGGCACTGGGGATGCTTGCTGTTACAAGTTTTGTATGCAGTTTGATCACGGCCCACGTGTTTGCTGATAAACAGAATGCTTATTATTTGGCATAGTGCAGGTACAGCGCTCAGTTAACCCTTCTCTCACCTGTCTCCTTTCTGCAGGGGCCCTGTCACATAGAGCTGCAGAGAGCCTTGGAAAAGATTGCCAAGTCCCAGCAGAAATTAGGAGAGAAGTTAACCAGATTCTACCTCCCCAACTGTGACAAACATGGGCTTTACAAACCCAGACAGGTTGGTATTAGGAGAACATATTCTCTGGGTGTATGTATAAGTGTGTGTGGGCTTGTCTGGGATGGATTCATGACTACAGTCAGCATGAAAGAATCTCACCAAGTTGTGTGTGCAAGTGTTTGGCTAAGATTATGTCAACCCTAACTTAAAAGAATTGTGTGTGTGTTGCAGGCAGGGATTTGTTCAGCACTGTTTTGTTTGAGTGCGGTGTCATTTAATGCAGCATTACCGTATATGTGTGCATCAATATGCAATGAAAGTGAAAGCAGTTCGATCAAATGATGTCTGTTTCTGTTTCCCTGCAGTGTGAATCCTCTCTGGATGGACAGAGGGGTCGATGCTGGTGTGTACACTCCTGGAACGGCAAGAAGATGTTCGGCTCGACTGATCTGTCTGTAAACGACGAGTGCCCTTAAAGAGGTCGACCATTGATGCAGATCTCACCCAAAAAATAAAAAAAAAAAGAGAAAAAAGCCACTGTTTGTTCCATATTGATAGCTGTTTATTTATTGATCTTGTCCATGGTGGTGTTTAATTCAGGTACACTGTCATTGCGGGACTGTGGGTCTATTACATTTTATTGGTTAATTATAATTATTTCCTGAGTATTTATATCATTTTGGCCTTATTTTTACTATTATATTAATATTTTTTATTGGTGTATAAAGTGTATATATGTATCTTGGCCCTGAGTAAATCCACTGCTGAGTTGCTGAGTTGAGCTCACCCTGCCCTCAAGGAGTTGACTGGAGGTTTGGTGTTGTGACAAACCAATAAAGAAGAAAAGCACTGAGTAACCAAATGCCATTTAGAAGAATTTCTAAATGTTGTTTTTATGATTAATTTTCACAGTGTTGCCATTATTATGTTTTTTTTTTTGTTATTGGTTTTATTTTCTGATGTGACAGCTCTTGTCAGTGAATGCAAAACTCTCAACAGTCTCAGAAAACATTTCCCATGGTTCCATGGGGCTGCAGATAGCATGACAGGCAGCGCCTCGATGCGTCGCCTCTCAAACGGGTATTTCTACATTTACCTACCTCCAGTATTTGTGCTGTCAGCTGTGTTGATGTATCTGTCACAAAAACAAACTTGCTATTTTACTTTATATGTTGCTGTTCTCTCTGACCAGGAACACATGACCACAAAGAGAGAGTCTCACAGTGAACCATGACGTGCTCTGCTCTATTTACATGCTGCTGTTGGAGAGAGAATTATTGTTTATGTGAGTCTATTCCAAAGTGAATAACTGCTCACTCGTGTGTATGTAGACTTTTGTAACTGAGATGTAATGCAAGAAAAAAAAAGGTGATATATTTAATAAAAACAATAACCTCAGCTGTGCGCTCCTGGCCTCTATTTCACATCAGGAAGAGCTTTTTTGTGCACAAACATTCATAGGTGGCAAAACATGAAAACCGTAACAGCTCCATCAGGACAGTGAAAGTTTGTGTGGAGATCCACTTCTGCACCACATGTTCTATATTCAGTGTGTTTGTGCAGTGTTATCATGGTGCTCTAGAGTGGAGGGCCTTGTCTAACTTTAAACAGTTCACTGGGACATGCAGCGCTGTGCTGCCTTTTGACCCGCTCTCTGTTTGTCTTGGTTGGGCACAGGAATTTGTCTCAACCTCTTGTGCCCGCTACCAGCCTGCCTGGCACCACCAGATTTATTTTTGTTATTTACAAATTGAACCTCTGCTTTATCCTTATTGACACATTCCAAGACTGAGAGAGGCTGATTGCATTCAAAGCTTCATCAGAAATTAATCTGATGACAAATTACTGCCTGTTAATGACAACACAAGCGTGTTCCCATCATTTGATATAACAGACGAGTCACAGAAGAGTCAGGCATCAGAGGCAGCATCTTAAAATGTGTTCACTTTTTATTTAAAAAAGATATTATAAATACAAATTGTTTTTTAAATCAAAATCATTTTCTTTCTGAGATAAAGTAACAGCTGTGTGATGTCTAGTTTAGTATCATGACAAGCTTGAATGAAAAAACTCTGATGGATAAACTAGAAATGAAAATACATTAACCCGTGAACAGAGAGTCTTAACATGACCAGCAGAGAAAAATAAAATTAAAAAGTGACGTAACAGAAGTGTGACCCTGGCTCTGCACTGGCAGGATGGAGGAAGTGACGTACCGCGAGGTGAGAGCTTCACTGACCTTAGGTAGCAGTGAACTCAGATGGCCAGAGACCTGAGTGCCTGACTAACACAGATTTGCCCGAGGTTGAGACTAGCCTGCTGGGCATGGAGCTTTCAAATGACACCGCTGAGAAGCAGAAGAAAAAGTTTCATCAAAAAATATAACATTCATTAGTGATTATATTCCCCAGAATACACTGAATCATATAGACCGTGCTGTGCAATCGGTGAGTCACTGAATTGTTCATAAGAAAACCTAGTTTGGATCAGCTTATAATTTCTTTCTTAGATAAATAATTTTAAGTACTGTACATGAAGTCTAGTCAGACACATAGCTGGCCAGGAAATAATAATAATAATAATAATAATATATAAAAAGACACACTTACAAATATTAGGGAGGGAATAGCTTAAACTTATTTTAAGTATGTTCCTCCCCTATCATCAAGTCTTTGACTAGATGGGATATAGCACCAACAGGCTGGTTGTAAGTTGCTGCCATCTATTAAAGGAGGTGCACAGCCGATTTCATGCTACTGAGCTACTAGGCAAGCGTTCCCTGTCGGCACTCTCTCCACTTTTCAAGTCTTTACACAGGATGTGGGAGAGCATCAGGCAGGAAGCTCTTTGGGGAGGCCCACGCCTCCTCCCTCAGACCCCCTACCACTTGTGTGAATGCATATTTGGTGCCGTGTCCATGTTGTGGAGATTTGTTGGCATATGATCATACAAGCATTTTTCAAAGAAACAAAAACAACAACAACACAAAAGAAAATAGTTGCATTGAATGGAAAATGTCTGAGGGGTGTTCGCTAAGTTCGCTGTCAGAAGTCCTGGTGCAGCTTGGTTTTTCTCTTTTTTATTCCGCCCTATGTTATCATTGTTTTCTTACCGTATCACACTGTGTCATCTGACATTTCCTCTAAGGGAAGGTATGCAGATCGAGATAGGTCCAATTGTCTTTAACTGCATGCATTGACGAGTAGCGCCGCAGCTAAAGTGCTTTAAGTGCATGTGCTTGAAGCATAGGGGCAGCTGGCACCTGCGGCAGGGCAAGCCGGGCACACCGGGCTCCGGACATACAAGCCTACACCAGGGTGCACC